TTAGAAGAGATGATCGGAACAACTAGCATAGCGAAAAAGAGTAGACAAGCTCTCTTCAGTTTTAACCTCACTGGTTGATGTAAAAGAAAAAAAAAATTTCTTTTCTTATCAAGGTAGCCTTCACTGTAGAGGTAGCAACTGAGATACCTATTACAGAGCAATTATAGCAACTGAGCTCTATTGTAGACTCAATTCAATGTGTTTTGGCTGAAAATGTAATCAGAATTTTCTAGAGATGGCATTTATATTCTTCAAATCAGTGAATAATGCAAGACTATTTAAATGATACATTCCCTTGTAACGGTGCAATATCCTCTGTTTCAAAATTTCCACATTTTTAATAGATATTCTACAGTTTTACTAAAGGTCTTAAAAATTTACTGGGTAGTATTTTGGTATTCTGCTGGCAGTACAGACAGAAGTCTCAAATAAAAAGAATGACCTAAAGAGAAGTTATATGGTTTACACATTTAACTTCCAGGAAAATGAAGGCACTCCCTTCCTGATCCCACTCCTCAGGCCGAAAAGGTCTTAGAATACAAATGCATAAAAATAGTTATATAGGATCAGCCCTGATTCTCCACCCAGTTCTGTATCCCATCTCTGGCAACAGTCAAACCCAGATGTCACAGAAGATGGCAGAAGAAAACTTAAATAGCAGACGTGGGATCACCTCCTTCTTCTGAAGTCTTGCAGCCCCTAATAATCAAAGACAGTCTTCAGCCTAGAAGTATGTCATTTTATATCCTATCCCCTTATTTTCTTTTCTAATTGGTCTTTTCAGTTTATAGCATTTTCCTGTATTTTTAGAAGGCTAGAGAAGAATGACTGAGGGAGGAAAAAAGCTTCTGCAGTGAGTTGTTAAAATGGCAGTTACCAGAGAATCGTAAAAAATTGGAGGACTGAAAGAGTTTCCTAAATTGGGGGCTACATCACGTAGCAGAGGCACCATAAGCTGGACAGATATTCAAGTGCAGGAGTAAGGCAGACAGCCTGGAAGTGCAACTGAAAATAGGCTTTGAACACCTGAGACTCTCCACAGGAGGAGAGCGGGTTTGTTTCTCTGGGCATTGGGTAAGGGCACACGATCTCACAGAAGTATGGCCTCCACTGGCACTCCATATATAGGACTGTTTTTGGCCTATACCTATATGTACACATATATATGAAGATATACATACATTTTAAAATATGCATTGTACATACAGACACTGAACAATCAGCAACTCATTTTCAGTTTATCAAAAAAACAGATAAAAAAAGATGGTAAGTGTTCCTGAGCTGGAAATGAAAGGTATAAAAGCCTTATTTAGGACCAAGTGAGAATTGCCAGTGCATACAGACTTATAGAAGGCTTTCACAGAATTTAGGGTTATCTTTGGCATTTCTATTTTAATTTTGCATTCTAAGAAATGTATTTGACAATGATCAGAACTGCCAGTCAGGCTAGTAATTTGACATACATTAACGAGTGATGTGATAAAGGGAAAGCTCTGTTGTCAAATGTTACAGAAATCTTGGTGTACTGCAGATTATCACGAGTCACAACTGTATTTGCTATTCATATTCCTTCAAGTCCTTCATGGAATGATGTATTATTTTAAGCTGGATGTAGCTGTTGAAAACAAAGAAAATTCTACATTCTCAACATAGGATTTACACAAACGTTTTTGACCTGATCCTTAGATGCAATAGCTCAAGCTACTATTAGTACTTTCAAGAACCATTTAAAGAATTTCTTTGTGTAAAAGAAAATGTAACCTTGTGAATAACAAGTAAATTATGGGGTAATCGTATTATGGGAGTAAAGGTTTTTTTGTATAGCACTGTTCCCATAAACTATGTGCTTTTCTACATAAGCTACCCCTAACTATAAAACCTGTTTTGCCAGATAAAAATAATTGTAGCTGTTCTAGAACCTGGAAATATATGTATAAACTGTTCCTCCATTTAACAGAGTGGTACTTGGAAAGAAAATTATGAAAATTAAATAATTAACTATTGTGCTTTTCAGTGCCCCAGTTCAATAAAAAGCAGTCACACAAATATTTTAAGATTTCAAAGTGTTTTGTTTGCTTTAAATGATGCACGTCTTGAAACTCAAATGAAGCAGTGATGCATTTTTAATTGCGCAATTAAAATAATTTTTCATGGTTTATAAATGGTTTAGTTCTAAAATTACTTGTCTACTGCAAAAACATTTCTGCAGAGCAGTTATCCGATATCACATTTCTAGACAATGCCTTCTTTGTCATCATGTCCTATTTCTCGTCCTCCTTCAAATGTTTAATGAACACAGTCACCTTTTTGAAATTATTCACTGAAAAGAATCTATCCTTCTCTTTAGTAAACTTTAAAACCTTTCCCTTAGTAAATCTGCAGCAAAAATCCTGTTATATATAAATAAAATTTAGCTCCAGTACACAATGCAACACTTGGAGTGTTTGAAATTAAGAACACATTCCATATTTTGTGCCTTAAGTCCATTTATAACACACTTCTCTTGGAATAGAAGGGAATATGGTATTATTAGGAATTTATTGTAATTCAGACTCACTGATGGATGGCATAACATGGCTGAAACTGAGCCCTGGAGAAACTGATAGGACTGATTAGCAATTACTTCAGTTCATTTTCTGCAACAAATTTCTTCATGGGATAAGCTTTGTTTCACTTACTGGAGCTTTTTTCCCTAAATTACACTAACAAAAGTTTACTCTTTGTACTTTAAGAAAATATTTACTATGATGTCCACCTCTAGTTTTTTTCCTATTTCAAAGCACAAACAAGGAAATTTTGTCTCCCTGATATATTATGTCCAGTGCTTTCAGAGAAGAGAGGGTCTGAAGCACAGCAGCTAAACTCTTCTTCTGCCCGAAATCTACAGTGGCAAAAGGAAGATAGAAACTAGAAACTGAAACTTTGAATTTTCAGTGGTTCTGATATGAAAGAAAACCTTAAAAAAATTCTGGAAACTGGAAAACCTCCCCTCCCAAAAATGTGTTAGAAGCTCCACTGCATGCTGTTTCAGAAATGAACTGTGTTCCTTGGTATCTGCGGTGACTGGGTGAAACTATCAGTGCCTACCCTGAAGCTATACGTTTGTTGTGAGTAACACAGAGGGAGGGCAGCAAAAGACACATTATAAAAATATATTATTATTTTGGACATTTTCTCACATAATTGCTCCTATTTTGATGGTTTAAACTTCACATACTCTTCACTACTTCAAAACACGTCTCTAAAAACCTGTCCTATATGTATAATTCTTTGCTTTGAATGTTCTGGTTGGTCTTTCAGAAGAAACCAGTTACTGTCAATCAAATACAAAAAAATCCACTCACAGGTTAGTAGTTTCAGCAAATTATTTATCTGATGATTGCTTTAGTTACATTTGTGTCCCTTATCTACTGAGATAGTGAGGTCTTCAGAACATAAAGCATATTTTATTCTGTATTAATAAGGTATTCATGTAATGAGTGATCAACCCTTGCTTGAGCCTCTTTGCAATGCCAAAATATAGTGAATGAAAACCAGTAAGTCAGTAAGAGGATTCCAGGGAATGCTGTTCTTGTTTGAACGTATGAGAAAGAAACAGCTTCATGAAAATTGGTACTTAAAAACTAATAATGTAATTAAGATAATGCTACACAATATTTCTCAATGGAGACAGTAATTTCAAGTCTTTTCCCTCTGTTCTGCCCTGGTTTGCACAAAAAAAAATTGTTGAAATATCTTGGAGCTTTCTGGTTGTCTATTAAATTTACTGAAACTGGCCAACAGGTTCAAAAGTTGCTGGCTGGATTACTGACAGAGGGACACAGCAGGATTTCCTTAGGAAGTCAGGCTAATCTGATTGTTTAAAAAATATCCAAAGTGAATTATATTTTATTTTCAACTTGCATTATATGAAACTAAATAAAATGATTGCAGAACTGAGCCTTCTTCACCCTTTATGTTTTTGCTTCCCCCCCATTTCATATAAATAGTTTCAATGTCCCTTCTGAGCTTATTTTTTTCTCAGGTTGTCAACTTGAGAGTTTCCTATTTGAACTAATCCTTTAAAAAGCACATTTAAGATATTTCTTACTTATTTTTCATACATAAAATGGCAAAACATTAAAATGCAGTTTCAATACGTTTTTCCACTGCTCATTTTAGTTTTACTGTAAAAGTTCCACAGGCAAAATTTCTTTTGGGCTGGAACAGCTGACTTTCCTGTCATACAATGCTAAAATACAGTTCAATATATGCTGACTTATGCTATTTTGGATATAAGATTAATTTTCAGCTAGCACTTAATCATAAGGGTATTTTCCAAAATATGGAAAAATTAACTGTGTTCAGCCATGTTACTATTGTTATTTGTAGGTCAATGAACACTGTTCTTATAAACTTCTTTTGTTAAAACCTTAATTACCTAATGGACAACATTGCCAATCGTTTCAGGCTGTTTTAATTAAATTAAGTGAGTCCAAGGGCACTTCCTTTCGCCTACTCTGTCATTATTTAGCCAAAGTACACACATTTAATACTGTCAGATTTCCATCATAAATCATGTCCTTCAGTCTTGCAGTTTTATTTGTACTGTTCTTTGAATTTCCTTTAAATTCTTGAAATATTTCTGCTGTGTTTTTTTCCAGAACTAAATTTCATTTTCTGTGTATGACCTTGTCAGCACAATAAAGAAAAGGATTCTTACTTTTTCATTAATGATGCAATATCTGAGCCTCAATACCATTTTTAATTACTGTTGCAGCTCTCCCTTTTCATTGTCCTCAGCGCTGTAATTCTTAATTTCTCAGTGCTCCTCAGTCTTAAGAGAATTTTTTACTAATAACTCTATATCTGTGGAAGAGTTTTGTGTAGAGTCCATTTTTCCCCAAGTGCTAGATTTTCAAATTTCAAATATGTTGTCCAGTCCTCTCACTTTTCTTTCTTTTTTTTTTTTTTTTGGATAGAGGTAAGCAGATGAGAAGAGAGTCACAACTGCAACTTACCAAGAGTTCGAAAAGGTCTTTGGTTTGGGGTATGGGAGAAGAAGCCAGGTTTCAAAGCATTTGTAATCACAATGTCAAAATACTCTTCAAAATCATTCCTAGAAGGTAAAGGAAATTGAATTAGCTAAACTAATAAATCAGCTAAGATGCCACTGAATACTCTTTATGACATAAGAAAGTAGCAAAACACTTCTTTTTTCCAATGCTTGGTCAGTGTCACTACTGCCCCTCTTTTCCTGAGGTTGTCAAAAGTGAGAAGACAGCTGGCTGAGAACCCACAGTGCTGTACCTTCAGGACCACTCATTATTTGTACAAAGATGTTCCTTGGCCCAGGGAGTTTTTATATCTCAGGAGAACATGTGACAGATGACATATTTTAATCTCAGGCGACAACATATGCATAGACAAGTAGAGAAAGGTGTAAATGAGGGACTTTCTTTATAAAGCAGAATACATGAAGTCAAGTGACGGGGTAGGAAGTAACTGAAGACTAAAGACACTTAAGCGCAGGTGCTTATATTGTTGGTATCCATACTGTACATATGCACAGGCCTAATGGGTGTCTAAGATGCCATTGTAGTCAACAGAGATCTAATTAATACAGCCAATTAAGTCTTAAAGGATGATTTCACATACCCTGAAGTGGAAATGCCATTTTGTTAGCTAAACTCTTTCTTCAGGCTCCACTGGTTGCTCTGACTAAACCCCCACTGGTTACAGGGAGGTTAGACACGTGGCTCACAAATAAACACCTACCAAGTACGAGTCTTAATCTGCCAGCTGAATCACACCACTAAATTCAGATTTTTCAAAGATCATTAGGTCCATGAAAATACAGATCAATATCTGAACTGTGGAAATCCTATCAATTTAAACGGGATTGTATGTTTGAGCATGGTGTATAAGTGGGACTTATTTATATTCAGGTATTTTTTAGAGACCTGTATGCAAGACAGTAACGTTACAAAGCCAATAGGAAAAACAGGCAACCTTGGGGAACATTCATGCCACCTGTCCTGCTGTCAGATGGGCTATTTCTGGAGATGCCAGTTATTCCTACTCTAGCAAGGGTCTTCTTTATTTTAAGGAATCTATTAGACCTTGCTTAATACATCATCAAGCTGGGAACTATAGCAAGAAATAATAATAATGCCTACCTACAAGTTTGGAAGTTACTAAAATATAAAATCAGACAAATGTTGCTTAAAGAGTGGTTATTTTTTTTATTATTGGAAAATGTAAACTTTTCCCATCTGTGACATGTATTTTATTTTAGTGGAAATGTTTCATTGCTTAGGTGACTGTATTGCCGATAGCATCCAAAAAATGATGGATAGTCTTGTATGGAACGAAGAAGTCCCAGACGGCAAGTCCAGGATGGGTACAGGCACTAAAATGTTATCTACAGGAGAAGTTTACTGGAAGAAAACTAGCTAACTGTGCCATTTTCAAATAATACTATTTCCCATGAGACTGATATATCTTAACTAAAAAACTGAATGCTCTCCCCATGAGCTTATCTTCAAGCTTTTATTTTGTGCTCTAAATTACATTCCAGCCTTAAAATAGAATGTCTTTAAATTTTCTTCCTCTAATGAAATTTCAGCTTTGTCTATTTTTCTCCACTTGTGACTGTATGTAAACCTTTACTTTTTAAAAGAACCAGTATCAAATATGACAACGGCGTGTTTTTAAAATTAGCTTCTGTGTGGAAGATTCCAGAAGTTGAGCAAACAGGCATGGCTCTTCTGTCCTTAGGTGAAAAGTATTGACAGAGTTAAACTTTTCAAATTGGCATGTGGTGCAAATAATGCTTCCATGGGTAAGTTAAGCTTGAACTTTCAAAATGAAGCCAATGCTTCAGGAGCACAACAAAGACTTGTGGGAACAGTGGTGAGTGCTTTGTGTAAAAATGTGTAAAAAATAAAACAATGAACAGAGTTTTCACAAGATTCGGTTAACTTTTTATTGATTTGTTGAAGAACAAACTGTTTTCTGTGGAGAGGTGTTATCTATGGCCTTTTTTGAATCATACTAAATCTCATGTACAAAGCTACTGATCTTATGAGAGCCTGTACCTTGTGTTACATTACTATGTAACATTACACACGACAAAATCTGTTCCAGTTACTGCTTGTGTTGTGGCCTGTGTAAATGGCTAAGACAAAGGGTAGGATGTATCTCACATAACTTTAGCCATCTAAAAATTGCACGCTGAATTCACAGCCAGTGGTCTACGCCACAGACAGAGCCAATGGAGAAACATCCACATTCTTAGAAGGCAATTCATCCCACTTATTTCAGACATAATTCTATGGTACAGAATGAATTGCCAAGGATGATGCCCAGTGTTTTCACTCCACTAACCACAGAGGGAATCAAAATGACCAGCTTCAAAAAATCCCTAGCTTTTCGATGGCTAACATTCATGAAAAGGTGAAACGACGCTCAGCTTCAGTGACTATGTGATGATTGACTCGTCTTTAGGTGTGCTCCTGCCAATGCTTAAACATTCAGTTAACTTGACTCGCATTCTCATGGTAGGTAAGCCTGAAAAGTCACACCATGATGTTGCTACTTGTGTGAATGAACTCGCACTTGCTTCTGTAGGTTTACATGCCTTATACACTGATCCCAGCAATATGTGTGTGCTCTGGCTGCGAAACGGTTCTCATTTTATTTCAAAACGAGATTTTCTCTTAGACGTCCTCTCTCCTTACCAAAATGTCTTTCAGTTAAGGACAACTCGGTCAGATGAACACAGATGGGATAGTTTGCTTTTGAAATGGTAAATGATACACTTAAGCATGAATTTCCCAGTGCTGATTTTATGTGGACAATAATTTCTTAGCCAAAAAGGAACTTCTTAAATAAAGTGCAAAAAAGTTAACAGTTACAAGGTAAGGATATTAGGAGTAAGAGGCTAAAAATTCACACATATCTCCGCTTTTCATCGTTATCCTTAGGGTTTTTTTGATGTAATACTATACAGTTCTGAACTTCCAGTATGATATTATTTGAAAGTAAAATTAATACAGGACTGCATAGACGTAATTCATAAGGCTTGATATCAAGAATAAAATGCAGTTAGCCCTGTCAAATAAAAGTTAAGGGCAGAGATAGTAGGTGTGAACCTAGACTGTATTCCAGTATCGCAAAAAGCAGCACGGGTGCATAGAGTCTTAATGTCTGATATAAGAGGCATGGAACAAACAAAAGCAATAAAAATTTTAGAATTATTTTCAGGAAAAAAAATACTTCAGTAAGGTCTAATGGACAGTGAAGTACTCAGTTCTCCAGAAGATGTCTTGGAAGCCACATTGCATGAGTCACTGGAAAATATGATTGTAATAAACACTGTAGAACATCCTACACTTATGTGGAAAGACAGAGTGATCCAGCATCCTTCTAGCAGAACAACTCTTTTCTGTCTTTTGAAAGGCAACCGACCCTCTCTGCTACTTTGCTTACTGTCTTCCAGCAGGGTCTCTACAGCTGCCTTAAACAGCTGAAACATTATTCACCGAGGAAAAGAAAGCCAAAATCATTATACATGGCCAAGAATTTAGTTTTATACCAAATTTTCATTCAGAAAACAACTAGACAGATCTGCACAAAAGTTAATTCACAGGCATCTTGCTCACAAGAACTGCTTTTTGTGAGGAGGTATATTTTCCCCTCAAATGAGCAAGTATAAAGTTCATGCAAGGCAGTGAGAACTCGCACAGCTGATGCTCAATTTAGCATTTAGCCCAGAGAGTACAAACGAGAAGTGATACTGGCAGGACTGGTTTTGGAAGGTAGCTCTGTTTTTCACCTTACCTGTGGTTTTCTTACAGTGTTGCTGTATTCACTCTGCTGTTCCCTTGCATATCCAGATAGCCAAGGTTGGCTCACATTGCACTACTTTGTTTCTTTGATTCATTTATTGAATAGTCTCACCATGTCACCCACCTAGCTATTTGCATCACTGATTAATTCGTTTCTAGGGGTGTAAGCGATGGTTCTGCTGAATTTCACTGAATTTGACTTGACCAGTCATGTTCTTAACATTACAGCTAAAAATAGCTGTTGTGATCAGCAACTACAATCTCAACCAATTGCCAAGTGCAATGAACTACCTTTTTTAATCTTTTCTGCTGTGATCTGTAGAAGTACATTTCTCATGCACAACCATCTCTTGGAAACCACCATTGCAAGGAAGTATTTGTAAGCTTTTCCATGCAGATTTACTGCAAGGAAATGAAATATTACTACTCCTTGCACCCACCACTGGAGAAGCACAGAAAGGAAGTGGCTTGAATAAGACAGTCTAGCAAAAACTTATGATAAAATTGGGATTCAGATGATGTATTGGGTGTCGGTCTGAAAGATATTCCCTGTCATCTTCAATCCCATCATGATGCCCAGAAAAGATGCAGGTTATAAGTGTGCTGTGGGTCAGGTACAGCTCACAGGCTCCTAGATGGACTACTTTGCCTTGAGTACCCTGTAACACTCTACTAGAGAGAGGCCGACCAGAAACCTCAGATCCAAACAATTCACAACACATAAAGAAACTCAAATTAACTTCCCTATAGCTCAGGCTTATCTCCAGTTGCTGTCTGGCAGATATAATTTGAAATGGACATTGCACTTACCCAAGAATATATTCACACAAAAGCCTGCAATAGTCACTGTGAGAACTAGTAATTAATAGCAGAATCTTCCCAGCACTCTTCAGTTGTTTCAGCCACTTTTTTACAGACTCGGGACATCTTTGTAAATATTTGTCTGGATGATTTTTCACTTCTGGGAAATACACCCCACAGTCTTCTAAAAAATTAAAACATAATTATGTATTATCCAATCCTGCTCACAAACCACGTAATCCACACAACAAATTTCCTTTTATGTGCAAACAATACAATTTTAAAAAGGCGAAGCAAAGTTTAAAATTCTCCCTTGGTTGGAACTCAATATAAACCAAAAAAACAATCAAACCAAGAGGATACATTGTAGCAGAAATAAGTTTGTATGACTTTTCTCTTTTATTATGGAATTTTCTTAGTTATTTTGTTTGATGTTCTTTTGGTCATAAGGGTAAATAATGCATAAATTACAGATTATAGTCTTATGCAGCAAATAATTACTTCCTGTTGCTCAATTTTTGGATACTCAATTTGTGATTTTAAAATGAGTTTAATGTTTAGAAAATGGTAAGGACCTGAAATTCCCAAGAACATCTGTTCAGTTACTTCTGACACTTCAGGTTAGCATTGTCTGATCAATAACATCCATTTTAATATTTTTGCATTTTTCACAAGAAGCACTTTATCTATGAAAGGTTGATAAAACAAACTGGCAAAGACTCACAGGTATGTGGAATACTAGGAACAGGTGCAAAAAAACCCCTCAATTCCAATTCCAGCTTCAATAATGCTCTTTTTGCTGAATATAACAGCAATAGAATTTTACAAATACACTTGGAATGTAAGATTTTAAAAAGTGTGCAATAACACTAAGTTGGCAGTAAAAGTTACCTATTCATTAAAGTCACCAATAAATATTTACCTTGTTATAACCCACAGCTGCTTTACCAAGATGTCAAATCAACATTAAACTTACCTTTTTTTATCATTCCTATGGTCTAAGACTACATATTTCCTCTGTGCTCAAACCCTCTATATCCAAAAATGTCAAGCTAGTTAAAGGTCTAAAAAGAAATATAATAATTGTAGAGACAGAAATGATACGAAGTATTTGGCTCTCAGTCTGTGTGTGTTATAGTATAATGAACATCACCATAGAAGATTATTTTTCTTCCAGCGTTTGTTCTATATGCAACTGTCTGTGGTCAACTTTGCTGAATGATTTAATAAATCCCAGACATTACTTAGCTTTCTGGTATGTGAGTAATGCTATTCTCTAGTTTGAAAAAATAAGATTTAAACCACTTGAACTTTAGCTATTTAATGAAAGAGAACATGTATGTTTGAAACAGTAGTATCAAAGAAAGACTGAAAGATGCTGGGTGCTAAACATAACACTATTTCATATTACACATTCAAACATGTACAGATGGCAGGAAAAAAAGACTCCCAAAAGAAGTTTCGAATTGGCTGTTTTCACTGCAACTAGACAGGAGGCAAAAATGTCTTATTCTTGTGACTTGACAGATTTCTTCCCAAAAGCTACAGAGTGGACTACTATATTTAAGGAAAGTTTTTCAAACAAAATCTCCCAACTCATAACCAGGTCACTATTCCAGTTCTTCATAGTAGTTAGGTCAGGCTGTGTAACAGCCTGTACCAGGGGAATATGAGCCTGTTCCTGCAGTCATCATTATGGGATGCCATGACATTTGCCTTGAGAACTAGCCTTGAGAGCTAGCCAAGACCAATGATTTTTTTTGATTAAATGAAGCAGATTTACAAAAGGTTTCCTGTAGTGTTTTTGCCCCCTCTTTCTTGGGGTGTGAATATTGTTTGGGATGAGCAATATAGTTTTTAGGAGCAGAAGCTGCATTATTTTTTTCAATATTATCATTAGTAACTATATTTCATATGTTATGCTATGACAATTTTTCTTCTTTGTTGTTTTGGAAAATGCACAACATTACATGAGAATGAAGGGGGACACAAACAAAGCAGGCTTGGCATTAGCTCTCACAGGTTCAACCAACTAAAAGAAAGATGGCAAAGTTCATTTAGATATACAGTGATCTATCACTCTTTTTACCCTAAAGTAAAAAGATCTGTTTTATATGAACTTCACTGCTGGACACTCTTTGTTTTTCTTTCCTTATCAAATGCCTCCCACCCTCCGTTGACCATTCTTTGATGTGCAACTAATTTAATGACTTTGAGTAAATTTAATCAACACTGTCTTCTCTGTCCATACTCTGTGCAGTATCTGCTATGTGACAAATCTATGATATTTGGCCTCTGAGTTACATCTGCATTGGAAAAGGTCAACAACTCTGGATTCAACATATGAGCTGAAAGAGAGTCTTATTCTAGTTTTCTATCCAGACCCTGAAGCCCAGCTGTTAATTGCAGACAAGCAATGAATCAGTTCTTGACACTGTGATCTGGTTTGCCTCTGGGCTGTTTGCCATATCAGGCAGAGGTACCTTAGAAGAACCCTCATTAAAGCATTCTCTACCATAATTAGGCCAATGTGGCCCGGGAAAGTAGAGTTTAACTTAATTCCTAACATTCTATTGCATCTGGTGAAGACAGTTTGGCCGAATATATACTCATACCTGTAAAGGAGTTTAACCACCAAAGCTGGCAAGATTTTATTGAAAGCCAAATAAAATAAAAGCTGAAAACCTTGCTCATTATCCCAGTCCAAGAGCCAGTTTTGAGGAGGACAGCAGAGCCACAGGCACCTTGTTGGCAAAAAGAGTTGTGGAAGTTTTAACATGTGATGGAGAAATAGCATCAAGTCAAGCCTTCACAATCAAATGGAATGATCTGACAGTGAGAAATGAAGCATTTTTTCCAAGGGTATACATTACCAGTATGCCATATGCTGCACTTAGTTTTTCTAAAGCAGGAAAACCATAAAAATAATAAGAAAACTCTATCAAGCAGAGAGTCAGTGAGAAATCAGAAAAGAACTAATTTTACCAGAGCCAACAGAGGAAAGGAGAAAGTGAGTTAATGGTAAGAAGAGTGATTTTATGCAAGAGTCATACAGCTCTGTTCTTGAAAAACAAAAAAGTAGTTCTTCAGACAAACACCATTCTTGAAAATAAGAAATGTCTCTAGCCTTCAGTACCTTCCTGATAATGCTTATGGACCATCCAAGTTTCAAAATACTCTTAAAAATAGAACTATAAGCACGCTTTAGAGAAGCTTTGTTGGTCCACAAATTCACTGTATCAAAATGGGGGACTTGTGGTCACCACCAGATCTACAACTGACAGTTTGCTATCTGTACATTGCCTAAAATAAAATCTCTACATTTTTATCTCTCTGTTTTACGAATATCACTTAACATACGCCTATACAGACATTGACATGTATTAATGTGTACCCACAAATCAGTGAAAGCAGAACAACAATAACAAATGTCCCAACTTTCACCTCGGATGTCTCTCTCTATTGTTTTCAGTTATCTGCATGCATGTCAAAGGCTACACTAGTAACCTCTGGCTCTTTGGCAGTATGAACACTTTCTCAAAATACAAGAAAGCATTTCAGAAAAAAAAATGGAAACAAGAAGACCGTGACAATCAACATAACAATCAACATATTTACCCCCTGTGACTGTATGAGAAAACTTAATCCAATGATATGGAGCAGGAAAGCAAACATCTAAGCATTTTATGCACAACTTTGTAATTTATTACATGTATGTTGCCATGGAGCAAATGCAGTTTTTCAATTTCCATTTTTGTTACTAAACAACTTGGAGTTTACCTGAAATCTCTGAAATACAGCCTGGGATAGCAAATTAGCAACTAGCCTCTGTAGGGATTTATAATCGTCTTCCAAATACACTTTCAAAAATAATAATTGCCTTTGCAGTCCATTAAGTATCCTTTCAGAAAAATATATTTCCTTTTTAAGCAGAAAATAGAAATATAAGCAATTAAAATGAGTTGTCTAGAACTGCCACATATCAAAGTCCTGCCAGAGCCTCTTATCAGATCTACGTCCTGTTGTATTTTCAAAGCAATATAATTTCCGCTATGTATATTCTCAGAGGCTCCCTTAGTGTCCAGTTTGGGGTTTGTTTTTTCGTCTCATCTGACATTGTAATTTGATCAAGATGTTCTTTGCATCGTTTTGCCTTAAAATTTAATTGCTCGTAATACAGCTGTGATAGCAAGTGTGATGGGAATTATGTATGGCTGGCAATGCAGAACCCCCAGATCAAATTCAGAAAGAGCCTGTACAATGCTTGCCATGACTGGCAGAAGTCCTCCAGCACAGACAATAATCCAGTCTTTAATCCAGCCACCCTCTTCTACTACAGTTGCAAAATTACTTTATTGAAGTATGCAGTTTGATGTTCTAATATAATACCTCCATTTGGGGAAAGAATAATTGTGGATTTCTCTTGTGCTCTTTATTACACCACTTCTCTTTGGCAGGGTCAGTTTATATCCCACTGGCTCTGGACTCCTCTGGACTCAATGTCTGTAAATTCGCACTGCCAGGACACTGCAGTTTTCATCCTTTAACTGTTATTTGGATTATAGAAAAGTTCAAGAGGCATGTTTCTGGCAAGGTTTCAGTCCAGAACTAAACCACAGGAAAACAGTGTATTTTTCAGTATTGTCACTGCTTCTAAGGGGCACCTACTTGATTGAATTAAAAACAATTTATCCACTATTTATACGATTTAGCTAAGCAGAGAGGTATGAGGCTAAAAAAATCCCTAGAATTCAGCCAAGAAAAATAAACTTTCAGCTGCCAATTTGTAGCTTGTATTTAGTGGCTTTAACAACTAACCATCTCTTACAATGAAAGTAGTATTTGGGAATGTAACTTTTCTCTCTTTTAAATTCAAAGGCAATTTGATAGCTTAGCTATCGATACCCATAGCCAGATTCTCTGCAGCTCTGAAGCGAGTAAGAACTTACACCTCTTCCCTAATTTTTGTCTGAATGCAAGCCTGTAGTTAGCAGTTATTAATTTGATCAACAGAGTAGAGCTGAAATAAAGTGTTTCTATCGGTGACGATGCAGACAACTATATTCACTGCACATTGCTTTCCATTGTGGTCTTACAGCACTTCAAGTTTTTAGAGTGAACAGAGAGGCACTTCTTTGATCATTGTTGTTGGCTTCTTCTCTCGTCTAAATAAATATATCCAAC